TTGCAGCCTTTGTTTTAGGGGAGTAGGACACTTTTGGATCATTAACGCTTTGGTTTTGCAAGATTTGAAAGACACAAGTCGCCAGAGAAGACGACCGAAGCTAGGGCTCTGACGCCTCTCCGGTCAATATATTTGTTTATATATTATATATCAATTGATTCAATTATATAAACTGATGTATAGCCACCCAAGTGGTAGAAACGCACACGCTAAGTCACTCCTCTCCCAGGTCACGGGTTCGATCCCCGATTTTGCCAAAATTTTCATATTTTCATTATTTTTGTAGGTTTATTATATAATGCATTGAACTTGATATCTTGACACCAACCAACACTTGACCTGGTGGTATGTTATGCTTGGAGAATGCTTGAGGGTGTGGGTTCAACACTCACCCCTACTCTTTTGGTTAATTTCTATGTTTCTCACTCTTTTCTTCCTTTAATCTTTTACAAAACCTTTTCTTTCAAAAATATTTTTTAATAAACCCTAACATAAAACCTTTTTTTCAACAAAACTCAAATAATTTAGTTTTAGGTTTTCCTAAATTTAATTAATTTAATTTTAGGGTTTTTTTTAGTTTAATCAATTTTATTTTAGGTTTATTCGATCAACCTTAATTTTATTTTTTAGGTTTTCTCAATTAATTTAAAACCAACCTAGAATTTAGGGTTTTGCTTAATTAATTAATTATTTTTTTAATCAATAAAAAATAAGTTAGACTTTAGGTAGATTATCAAAGCTTTTTCATGATACGATTTTCTCCTTTTACCGCTCCGCGCGCTTTATTACTTCCGCGTTAGTTTTTTCCCCAATTATGTATCTGCTACAGTATGTAATAAGTAATTAGGGTTTACTTTCTTTTTCCCCAGTTTTATGATTTGTACCCCCTTCTCCGAAGCCCTGTAATAGTTTAGGTTTACTTTTCCACACCTTTACTTTTCCGCACTTTTACTTTATACCTTGTATATAATTGTTAAATGTATGCTAATAGGATTGTATGAGAAGGTCTAAAAACAATCATAGCTAACCCTAAATGCAAGATAAATAATTGAGCTGAACCATTTGCACACTTGCACCTCTAGGGTAACCTAACTTGTTGCCTTCGAATAAAAATGGTCATGTCCCTCGAACATAGGGATATCCTTAGCAAAGACCCTCGGTTAAAATCATCATAAAGATCATAGTCTCGCGATGTTTCTCGAGTTGCCTACGAGAAATGATCTTGTCTCTTGATGTTGCCTACGAATATATGATGACAGTCCCTCCGAATTGCTAAGATATCCCTATATGTTGTCTTCTATGACCATAACGACGACCCTCGTCTGTCCCTTTACTTAAAATGGATAGGGCTTCGTACTAACTAATGTTAGGATAACACTATCTAAAGGAGGAGGAAAATAACACAAAAGATCTTTGAGTAGGTAGATCGCTCGTAATCTCTTGCTCACACTTTTTCAAAACATTTTTTCACACAAAACACTTTTTTATGAAATATTTTAAAAAATAAACCCTTTGTACGCATTCTTAACTGATACAAGAATCATTACAAAGTTGCCTTACTATTGGCGTTTTTTTCAAAATATTTTCAAACACACAAACACAAAGCATTTCAAACAAAGTGAGATAGCGATTAAGAGCCCGTCGATAACTACAAATGAAAAGGGCGCTAACAGCTTCCCTTTTCATAACCTACCCCCGAACTCAAAAATCTCGAAGGTCTTTCCTGTTCTTTTCACCCTTTCCTTATTGGATAAAAGAAAAGTCAGTGGCGACTCTTGCTATCTGCACATTTGCGATAAAATGCAAAACCAGTCAATTCTCCCACCGTATTACAGATACCTTCGTCAGATTTCTCGCCAAACATACTTACCGAGATTGTCTTTGTCATTGTTGAGGATATAACACTTACATCCAAATATGCGAAAGTGAGAAATATTTGGCTTTCTTCCCTTGAAGAGTTCATATAGAGTCTTTTCAATATTAGCCTAATGATAACCCGATTGCTTACATAACATGTCGTGCTTACTGCATCCACTTAAAAGTACTTCGGTAGATTTGAGTCGCTTAACATGGTTCTTGCAAGTTCAACTAGGGATCAATTTTTCCTTTCCACAACTCCAACTTGTTGAGGAGTCATTGGTGCTGAAAAATTATGGAAGATTCCATTTTCTTCACAAAATTCTTCAAATGATGCATTTTGGAATTCTCCACCATGGTCACTTCTAATTGATGCAATCTTCAAGGATTTTTCATTTTGTACTTGTTTTTCATACTTCTTGAATGCCTTGAAAGCGTCACTTTTCTCCACTAAAAATAGTGTACAAGAATATCTAGAAAAATCATCGACGATTACTAAAGCATATACATTACCTACAAAGCTTCTTGTCCTTGATGGACCAAACAAGTCCATGCGCAATAATTGAAGTGGCATTGTAGTTATTATCATATTATTTGGCTTGAAAGTTAATTTGGTTTATTTCCCCTTTTGACATGCATCACATAATTTATCTTTCATAAATTTTATCTTTGGTAAACCAATAACAAGATCACATTTTACTAACTTGTTTACATGTTCCATATGAATATGGACTATTTTTTTGTGCCAAAGTCGCGGGTCATTATTGTTTACCATGAGACATTTTATTTTTAAAGATAAATCATCTAAAAAAATCATGAAAATATTTTTAATTCTTTTACCTGTGAGTTTTACCTCATGAGTTACTTCATCTTCAATCAAACATTCATCTTTGGTGAAGTTGATTTTGAAGTCTTTGTCACAAAGTTGGCTTATACTAAGAAAATTGTGCTTTAGTCCTTTTACATAAAGTATATATTCAATAGTTGTGAAAGGTGGTGATCCAAATTTGCCTATGTCAAAAATCTTTCTTTTGTTATTGTCCCCATATGAGACATATCCATTGGTTTTTAGAACTAGGGATGAAAATTTGTTTATATCTTCAGTCATATGCTTAGAACAACCACTATCAAGATACCTTAGATTTGTAGTGGTTTTGAAGAAAACTTATAAAATAAATTAAGTTTTATCAGGTACCCAATGTGCATTGAGTCCTTGGTAATTAGTTCCTTTCTTGATCCACACGTAATGTCCACTAACAGCACTATAATTCCTTACATAGCAACCATAACATAAATATGTAGGAACAAAATTACTTCTATATCTAAAAACATAAGACCTTATTTGAACAAATGTTTTCTTAGGATAATGATGAACATTTTATACTTTATTAACTTTCTCTTTATTGGATTGGTCACTTGCCTTGACAAAGATAATTTTACTAGTACTTGCCTTATCAAATTTTGAGTAACCAAGTCTACTTTTATCATTGGAATATCTTTGTCTACTAAGGGTACATTCTAATCCAAATTATCATTTTTTTAATATCTTTTAATAATTCTTTTTAATTGGACAATTTGAAAAGATAGTGAGTTGCATTTATTGCATGTAAAATTCTGTTTTTCTTTTTCAAAATAATTTTGTTTTTTTTTCCAAAATCTTTTTTCACTGTGTCAATCTTCTCTTCAAGAGATGATATTCGTTTCTTTTGAATTGACACCGTTTTATACATAATTTGTATTCATTGAATAGTTTATCTATTGCTCCTTGTGCATAATCATAAGAAGGTATTTCATTACTAACCTCATCTTTTTCATCGTCGAAATGATGTGATGTCATCAATGCAAGGTTTGAGCATTATTCGCTTTCCGAATCTGATGACGAACTTACTTCGTTATCGTCCCATGAAATATAGGCTCTTTTGAACTTTGATTCCTTTCTTCCTTTATGACCACTCCTTTTAAAAAGTTTTAGATAATCGGCCTTTATGTGTCCTTGCTATCCACATTCAAAGCAAGTAAGTTTTTTGGTTAATGTAAAAGTTTCATTTTTCTTGAAAAATTTATTCCTTTTTGCAAAGTTAAAATTATCATTACCAAAAAATTTACCTAACCTTTTTACAAGAAGCATGAAGTTCTCGTCCTCTTCCAGAATATCTTCTTCTACTTCTTTTGAATTAACCTTTAGCGGAATACCTTTGAATTTCTTTTGTGAGTCTCATGCTTTTCTAGTCTTTCAAGTTCAGTCTCATGTTCTTGAATTTTTTTGAATAACGTTGCAGAAGTCATTTTAGATAAGCTCTTCTTTTCGAACATTGCTATTATTTTTAGTTGCCATTCTCCGGACAAAGATCTAAACACTTGAAGATTTAATTCATCATTAATACATTTTTTACCGAAAGCAATCAAATCATTGATCAAGTACATAAATCTTTTCTGCAAATTATTAGTGAACATCACATAAAATAAAAATAAACATACATTTTATCAACAAGAAAATGAATGTGCGTCAAATTTTGAATAAAATCTCGCCTAACAGTTTTTAACCACATTATTTTCTTTTCTCTTTCTAACAAATATTATTTAATATATTAATTAATATTTAATATTAATTATTTCAACTCATTAATCCATCAATGATTTTTATATATTTCAACAATTCAATCAACAAAAAATTATAATTTTTTTTTCCTCACGTATAATATCTATTACTATTCATAATTTATCTCAATGAATATACTAGTTAAATGTCCTTTCCCATACGAGAAAACACATACGTCAACTAAAAAAATCTCCCAACCGACACTTACTGCATGAAAAAACAGCACGCGAGGGTCACGTGAACTTCACTGAGTCTTCCATTTTCCACACCACACTGAGAAAGCATCACTTCACCGACTAAATGGTACACATCGTAAATCTCAACTCAATGAAAGGGCAAATACTACAAAATTCAAGTTCAGTACTCTACCAAAAAAATCTAAAAACATATCCCGCGTCGCAAACAAGCAAAAAATCAAACCCGAAAAAAGAGAGTAGAAAAGTGCTTTTTCACTCACCAAGAAGCGATTCCTCCGTAATCTTCTCTCATCTTCGGTGTTTTCGCCATTCTCTTCGCACATTTTCTACGGATCTAGTTTCTCACCATGAATCGCCACCACGATCCCAATCCATTCGAAGAAGAAGAAGTCAACCCGTTCTCGGTACTATATAGATTCTACCTCACTCTTTTTCCATTTCTATTTTTAGTTTTTAAACACTCAGATCCAACACTGAATTTGCGCGTACAACCTACAAAATTGAAACTGCTTGTGTGATTTTTCACTTGATTTTGGATCTGTTGTTAATTCGCGTCACCATGGCTTCATTTTGGTTTGGAATTGAGAATCCAGTTAGATTAGATGAGAACGAGTGTGTATTGTATTGATTCTAATCTGTGATCACAAATTGGAGTGAAACTTAGTTTGCATGTTTGTGGAAGACTTGGATCTGGAGAAATGTAGGTTTTTGATCTTAGATTAGGGTGGTTTTTATATTCATGCAGTGGAGTGTGCGATGCTTGAACTGGTTATTTTTACTCCCTGTTATGGATCAAAATTTATTCTGCTTTGATGGTTGGGGAATTTCGCTGCTGTTTTTGATTCTGTAGCAAAACATTCAGGGCCTTGGTGATTTGAAAGTGAGTGAAGTGGAATGAGTGACGGCGGTGAAGCAATTTGATTTTAAGTGAATTGATTTTAATTTAAAGTGAGTTGAATGTGAAATGATTAGTATTTGGATACGTTCATGAACTTCTTATGTTGTAAAGCCCCAATCTCAAAATTAACAAGATAGTTCTCTTATTTTCATTCATCTTTCTCTTATTTATATACATCTAATTATAACATATACTAACCGACTTACTAATTAAAGGGATTTTATCTATCAAATAATAATAGCATTATTATTCTCGTTTGTTTACTTAATTGTGTACACATCTGAGCAGATGAAGATTTTGTTGTGTGGTTATCTCTAATTATCTGTAGTACAAATACAATGTAGAGGTAAAGGGTATGAAGGCTCATATGATGTTATGTCGATTATTAGAAATTGTCGATGCTTGTTCTGCATATTAAACATATAAACATACCTTCTGTGAAATCCCTAGGATCAATGTATATATTATACTATGTACTATTTGTCTAAGAAAAGTATGCCATTACCTTATGCATCTAGTATTCAAATTCCAATTGGCGGAAGTACTTTCTTTGACATCTATACTCCTACATTTATTATGAAATTATTGCAGATAAATGTGAGTATTTGATATGTTTGGCAGTTTTGTGTTTCATTGAGTTTTCAGAGGGCATTTCGTGCAAGTTTGATGTATTTTCAAATTTCAACATTTTCTTAATGTAACTTTATCATTTGCTTCATAATTGTAACTATTTGTTGATTTGAGCCTGGCATTAGAATTCATTTTGCTGCATGTATAAGATATTTAATATTTAATTAATTCAGACCTTGTACTTTCCTAAGAACTAACTTTTATGTCTAATTATCAAAATTCACATTATAAAATAATATAGCCATCATTATTTTCAGTTTTTCATCCAAAGTACTAATTGCTAGTTTTTTTTGAAACCTTGGCATTTGATGCTTTTTTGTTTCATTTAAGTTATGACATGTGTTTTTCATTCTATATATTGTGGAAATCTTACAGAATGGTGCTGGATCAAAATCACGTGTTCCACCGTCATCTGGACCACTAGGCTTTGGTCAAAGGCATGATGCTACGGTTGATATTCCTTTGGAAACTTCAAATGTAATGTCATTTGTTAATTGTTATGCGTGGATTTTATAATACGTTGTAAGACTCTTTTTGGTAGGGGACTGAGTTTATTCTTTATAATGTTTATTAGGGGGACTCCAAGAAAAGAAGTCAAGAGCTAGCAGCTTGGGAAGCTGATTTAAAAAGGAAAGAGAAGGTTGGTTTTTGATTTTGTTTTGCTGCCAGTGTTGGTTCTTTAGCATTCATATAGTATTTTAATTGTCAGCATCGTAAGTGATGTACCTGTATTCTCTTAAATGCCTGCATATACAAATATTTGCTTCTGCCATTATTAGTCAACTCATATAGTTTGCTTTGAGGATTTTGTGACTCTTTCTAATGAATATGTAGGAAATAAAAAGAAGAGAAGATTCTGTCGCTAAAGGTGAATGACGAGATACCACCATACAAGATTTTCAGTAAATTGTCTTATCATTTCATCTATATATACAGAGTCCAACTTATTTTTTCTTGTTTTCAAAATATGCTTACCAGCTGGTGTGCCCGTTGATGATAAGAATTGGCCTCCATTTTTCCCAATGATTCACCACGATATTGCCAATGAGATTCCAGTCCATGCACAGAGGCTGCAATATTCAGCCTTTGCTAGCTGGTTGGGTATGGTCACTTAATTATGTTATCTATTTATTGATTATTTGGTTTGTGATTGTTTTTGGGAAGTAAAACTTTTTACCATGCATTTTCTTAGTTAAATAGTACCATGCATTTTCACTATCATAGTTATAGACTTTTGTGGGTGAAATTGAATGAAATGAGATGTTTTCTTGTCAATATTCTGATAGTTACTAGTTCTTTACAAGATAGAATTGGGACAATTTCTGATATTTATTGATACAAACAATACTACACAAATAACACATGATAACATTCGGATAATAGTTCTCCAATGTTTTGAGAGCCTTGGCTTCTCCTCTTCCCAAATGTAACACTTTTAATTAATAAAAAGTAACGGACATACTCTAAACTATAACTGCCATGACCAAAGTCAGTTTTGGTCTTCTCTGTCCCATAATATTCTCTAATAAGAGATCTAACAATACTTCCCCCCTAAACTATCACCTTGTCCTCAAGGTGTTTCCTTGAGAATAAAATCAAAAGAAATTACAAAGCAACTTTGCCGGCATTGGCATTTAAACCAAATTTGGTCTTCTCTGCCCCATAATATTCTCCAATGAGAGGTCTAACAATATGGTAGAAACCGGTACCAAAGTACAAATTAATACTAATAACAGACTTTTATTCATGGCAGAATATGTTTACTACAAACACATAATTACAAACACTATAGAGAATACATAACTCCCAGATAAACTAATCCAAGAAATTCAAGAATCTTGGTCTCTCCCTCCCTCTAATAATTAGAGAGCTCGGTCTCTCCCACCCAAAACCATTCAATAATTATCCCCTCATCTGTTTCTCCTATCCCTTTCCTATTTATTTCTAAGATTAAATAATATAGCTGCCATAATAACTTCCCATAACTGCAAGTCTAACAAAATACTCCCCCAGTACAGAGAATAACACACAATGGAATTGGGACAATTTTTTATATTTATTGCTACAAACAGTACCACAGTATGGAGAACCACACACAACTCTCACATAAATAGGATAATTGTTCTCCAATGTTTGAGAGCCCCTTCCCAAATGTTGGAGCTCTCCTACTTACTAACCACTCAAGACTTCCAAGATAATCCACTATTTCCTGCCCACTTCCTATTTATTCTGAATCATAGACAACATAACTAACACATTTAGTTATAAAAAGTAACTGACAGTGCAAACTATAATTTCCACAAACTGACCAAAGTCAATTTTGGTCATTTCTTCCCCATAATATTCTCTAACGAGAGGTCTAACAGATTCGTTCCGTAGGGCATTTATGTCATACATTATTATCTACATACACGCCCACAAACATTAGCATCTCATGAAGAAAATTTTGTTTTTGTTTTGTTTATTTACGTCTATATTTTCTGTTCTATTATAGTCCTGTGTCTAATTGTTTTTTCTTCCTACTTTGTTGTCTTTGCAGGAATCGTTCTCTGCTTAGTTTTTAATGTAGTTGCTGTGACTGTCTGTTGGATCAGAGGCGGGGGTGAGCTTATTCTGTTACTTCATGATATTGCCAGTCCTCTAGTTTCATGCCGTGCCTTGGACCTGACTGAAGTTTACAATGTGCAGGTGTTAAAATTTTTTTCCTTGCAGTAATTTATGCGCTGCTTGGGGTTCCCCTTTCATACGTGCTTTGGTACAGGCCCCTCTATCGTGCTATGAGGTAAATTGCAACTTTCCCTCTGTATATTCACTAGCACTTCAGCACAGTGTTAACTGTAGACACAGAGGGCTACTATGGGTCTCTTTTAGGTACTGGCAAAGGTATTATGGAAGATCCCTCCTAACCTGATTGTGTATGATGCTGGTTGTTGCTTATGATTGTTTCTAATATGCAGGACGGATAGTGCTCTGAAGTTCAGTTGGTTTTTCATGGTCTACTTGGTATGTTGATCTGTTACTAGATATTGACACGCTACTTAGTGATCGACATACTAATTCCTCTCTTAATTGGTTTGACTTGATGCAGCTTCATATAGCATTTTGCATCTTTGCTGCAATTGCACCTCCAGTTGTTTTTCATGGACAGTCGTTAACGTAAGTTTTAAAAGCTGTTGCAGAGTTTACTTAACTGAATATGAAGTTTTTGATACCTACCTGGTTTTGGGTGTAATTTTTCTAGTATAGATCTAAAGGCAAATCATCCCTGAGAGGAATTTCAAAAATTTGTATTCCTAATATTTGTTAGTTGGTAAGGAAAATCACATAAATGGGTGTTTTGTAACTAGCAAGTTATCACTTATTGGCTTAAACCGGCATTCTTGGAAAATGTCATTTATAACAAGCATATACAAATAAAAATGGGTTAAATATGGTTTTACTCCCTATAAATTTTGTTTAGGTCTTATAATTTTTATCAACTTTTAGTCAATACAAAAATTTCCATCGGCAATTTTAGTCCTTACTCTTAAGTCAACCCATATTGGCTAGCGGAAGTCCACTTGGTTCCATCATGAAGAGTAGGAAGGGTGTCAAGAATGATGTCATTGAAAATTTTGAATTTATATGTTTACATTTAAAAACCCTAGCTTTGCTTATCCCTGTAAATGGGATTACTGCTGGGATGAGGCATACTGGTTAACTTTGCTAGGAGCTGGGATGAGAACACATTAAATTCCAAATCATTAAAATGTTACTGTGGCCTTTTGTTAGTCAAACTTGAGTTGACTTAATAGTGAGGACTAGAACTAGTGATGGAAATTTTTGTAGGATCTGAACAAAAATTTATGTGGCCTTAAAAAAATTTAACCTATAACAAAACGCAGAAGAATACCTCTTACATATTTTAGCACAAGTAAGAAATTAAACAATATATGGTAAATATGTTCATTAATATTGTTGCCATACTCAAATTAGTAACTTACCAAGTATATATTCATTTTCTGTTGCATTTTAAAAATTCACTTAACATTGTAGGGGCATCCTTGCGGCAATTGATGTGTTTTCAGACCACGTATTGGTTGGGGTAAGTTGTAATCTACTTGTGGTTATTAGCAATTATTTTATTGTTGGTATAATCATTACCTGTTTAATGGTTGTAACTTGTGATGATATGACATCCATTTTTTTTGGTCGAAGATATTGCTCCGGAGGTTTAGAAGCATTACTGTTGACACATTTCTATTTAATATTGTGATCAGACAAATAAGATTCGTTTACTGATGAACATCTGCATACAAAGCTGTAGTGTTATGCATTTATATACATGCTGTAATTTAAACTTAAGATCTTGTTTGATTGTGTTTGGAATTTTTTTAAAACTGTTTATAAATCAATATTGTAAAACTGTTTTTTTTTATATTTTTTTTACAATTATGATATATTTTGTTTAGGTTTATAAAAAAGAAAATAGGAAACACCTTTTCAAAACAAAGTAATCAAATTAGATGAAGAGGGTCAAAATTTGTAGCCATAGGTTTTAGATCAAAATGATTTGGATGCCATTGAACAACCAGAGAATATGGATAATTTTTTTTAATCTTATTTGACAAATAAGTTCTTACTTAATTCATTTTGAATTTCTTATTTAACAGAAGAAAAATAAGTTCGGGAACCTTTTTCTTGTGCTTAAATGCTTCGATCCATCAATATGTTTGGTATTCTTGCAGATATTTTACTTGATTGGATTTGGACTGTTTTGCTTGGAGGCTCTTCTAAGCTTGTGGGTTATTCAGGTGAGGAACAATAGCTTTGATTTGCATTCTCAATTTTTAAAATGTGTCTTGTTTTAGATGATTTGGGAGCACGTGGATAAGACTTGTAGAAACACCGGTAAATTGAGTTGATCAAATGGAGGATAAAATACACTGTTACTTTTCTGTGTATTTTTTTACTTCAGCAGCTGCTACACTTGCAAGTTTCTTTTTAGAAGAAATGATTTATATATTTGCTTGATCATTGTTTCCTTTTCTTTTTGCTTATGCAGAAAATATACATGTTTTTCCGGGGGCACAAGTGAGTCTGTTTCATGGATTTTATTCTAGCGGCTTTTATAGTGTTAGTCACTATCCAAGGGGGCTTAGTATATTCTCTATCCTCTTTTCATTCTTTGCAATATCTCTGATATTGTTCTGCTGTTTCTCTGTAGTGTTGTACCAAAGTTTTGTGTGTACTTGAGTGAGAATTATTGAATTAAAGTGTTTTTAGAATTTCTCTTCCTTGAAACAATATGTAGTAGAGATTCCATTGTGGATTGTGAAACAAGAATGATACCAACACATCTCTTGTGATTGTTTATATTTGGAAAACTTGTGTCATTTTACTATTAGAAAAACCAGTAAGATATCCATAAGATATATTTTAGCGGCGAACAAATATTGGTTTGATATGCGCACAAATTTAATAAAAGTAAAGTAACTATCATTAGAATTTGTGATTGTTATAGAAATTAATTAAAAACCATGGTTAAAAACAAATTGAAATAATAATAGTTTAATATTAATGCAATAATGAAACATCTGCTGATGAGTAGGCAAATAGGTAGTAGTTCAACGAAATGCAATAGTAGAAATTAAATGCACGGTATATAGTGTAAAAGAACCTTATCGAAAATCGAACATACTCTTTGATTTTAGAAATATATTTTTGGATCTATTAGAGTAAGGTAAATAATAGAAGTGTTAAGTCTTGTTTTAAGCTTGTTATGATTAACACTTGTCATGTTCTGTATGCTTGCCTACCTGCTGTAGCAGGTCACACTGATTGTCATATAAATGCAACTGTGTGCACTATCTGTAACTAACTTTTGCAGTTAAAATAACAGAAATGAAAAGTTTCTCTATATTTTCTATCTCTGCTATGTCTTTTATCATGGTATCAGATTAAGCCATTCTCGATCCATGGCGTCACCGGGATCGTCGTCTTCCGCTAACGTCACAGTGCCGACCTCGTCGTTCACGGCGGCGACTGCTGAAATGTGTCATCTCCAATTCTCTCTCAAAATCGCGCACAAACTCGATGAGAAAAACTTTCATCTCTGGCGTCAACAGGTGGAACCTTACATCAACGCGCATAATCTCACGGATCTCGTGGTGTGCACTCGGATTCTGTCCAAATTTATGGACGATGATGCTCGTCGCCAAGGTATTGTTAATCCTGCATATTTTGTTTGGCTTCAGAAAGATCAGTTGCTTCTATCTTGGTTTCAATCCACACTCTCGAGCGAAATTCTGTCGCGTGTCCTTGGATGCTCTCATTCGCATCAGCTCTGGGATCGTCTATTCAGCTATTTCCAGAAGCAAACTCGTGCTCGTGCACGCCAGTTGCGTGTGGAATTGCGTGCCCTAACTCTGGAATCTCAATCTGTTTCTGACTATTTGTTGAAAATTCACGCTACTGTGGATGCTCTAGCCTCAATTGGAGATCTTATTCCCAGCTCTCATCACATTAATGTGATTCTTGAGGGGCTTCCTAGCGAATATGCTCCGGTTGTTTCTGTTGTTGAGAGTAAGTTTGGTGATATGGATTTGGATGAGGTGGAAATTCTCCTTGTTGCACATGAGTTGAGGCTGAACAGATTTAAGAAGACTACTGTGCCAGATCTTGGATCTCTCAATCTTACACATGTTTCACCTCAAGCTGCTTCACCTGAAAATCCTCAATCTGGCAGCACTGAATCTGCTCACTCACAAGTAACTCCCTCTCGTGTTGAGCCTGAGTATTCCAGCTTTAGAGGTGGCAAATCCAACAGAGGTGGTCGTGGAAAAGGTTCAGGTGACAGAAATTCTACAGTTCAGTGTCAAGTTTGCTCCAAAGTTGGACACTCAGCTTTAAACTGCTGGCATAGGTTTAATCAGAACTTTCAGCCTCCCTCTTACAGTAGCAGTCCCTATCATGCTGCCCCTTGGCAGTTTCCTAAGGTGCCCTATGGTCATTTCCCTGCTAATGTGTGGACACGACCTCCAACTGCTCAAGCAAGGCCAACTCTTACCTATTCTGCTCCCAGCACCTTCATTGCAAATGCCACTCCTTCTTCCTCTGCTATGTCCTGGTATCCTGATTCCGGAGCTTCCTATCATGTCACCAATGATGCAAATAATCTGCAGCAGGCTACACCTTTTGAGGGTCATGAACAAATCTACATAGGCAATGCCCAAGGTCTTCTCATCAACTCTACTGGTTCTAGTCAGTTTCTTTCTCAAAATCACCCTCACACACCTCTCACACTTAATAATCTCTTACATGTGCCATCTATTACCAAGAATCTCATAAGTGTGAGTCAGTTTTGTCGTGACAATCAGGTATACTTCCTTTTCACAGCTGATTCGTGCTTTGTCAAATGCCAGGTATCTAATGCTGTTATGCTAACTGGTCAAGTGGGGTCTGATGGGTTGTATGAGTTCCCTATGCTCAACCTTTCCAAATCTGCTGTGTCTACTAAGCCTTTAGCTTCTTTAAACAAACTTGTACCTTCTATTAATACTGTTGATGTTTCTCCTGCTTTGTCCAATGTGTGGCATTTAAGACTAGGCCATCCTAATATCAACACTTTGAGATTGGTGCTGCAAAGTTGTAATCTCAAATTTAGCAATAAAATTCATGATTTTTTCTGTTCTGCTTGTTGTATGGGTAAATTACATAAATTGCATTCACCTGCCTCACACACCACTTATTCTCACCCTTTAGAGCTTGTGTAATGTGATCTGTGGGGACCTTCTCCTCAACCTTCAGCACATGGCTTTACCTACTATATCTCATTTGTAGATGCCTTTTCCAGATTCACATGGTTGTATTTGCTTAAAACCAAAGCTGAAGCACTTGGTGTCTTCAAGCAGTTTAAGTCTCTTGTGGAACTGCAATTTGGTTTTCCTATCAAAACTATTCAGTCAGATTGGGGTGGAGAATTTCGTCCCTTCAACAAGTTTCTTTCTGACCTTGGCATTGTGCACAGAGTTATCTGCCCTCATACTCACCACTAAAATGGAGTGGTGGAAAGGAAGCATAGGCACATTGTGGATCTAGGCTTGACTCTGTTAAGTCAAGCCTCTTTACCATTAACATACTGGGATTATTCCTTCACCACAACTGTCTTTCTCATCAACAGACTTCCCTCCTCAGCTATTCAATTCCAGGTTCCTTACACTCTTCTGTTTCACATTGCTCCTGACTACAAGTTTCTGAAGGTGTTTGGCTGTGCTTGTTTCCCTCTTCTGAGACCTTATCACGCGCACAAGCTGGAATTCAGGTCTCATGAATGCTTGTTTTTGGGTTATTCCAACTCTCACAAGGGTTATAAATGTCTTTCCCCTAGTGGCAAGCTTTATATATCCAAAGATGTTTTGTTCCATGAATCCAGATTTCCTTATCTAGAGCTGTTTTCTCCACCTATTTCTCCTACCCTGAATGTCAATACACCTACCAGTCAAACACCTTCATCATCTATATCCTCCCTATTTTCCAGCATCCCTCTTCCTAACTTGTGCCACTAACAGTTGTTCCCTTTTCTTCTAATAACTTCCCTGCCCCTGTCATTCCCTCCAGTTCTTCTCCTTCTACAAGTCAAGGAGGGGACATCTCTCCCTCTCTTACTAAACCTGTAACCAATCTGTCTTCTCTCTCTCAGCTGTCCTCTGAGACATCTCCTTCAAAACCTATGACAACTACCCCTACACCATGCTGCCTACCTGCTAATGCTGTAGCAGTTAGCTCTAAACCTGTTAATCAACATCCTATGGCCACAAGAGCTAAAACTGGCTTTATGCAACCAAAGGTGCTACTCACTCATACAGAACCCAAAACTGTAAAGCAAGCTCTTGCAGATACTAAGTGGAAAGAGGCTATGCAGTCTGAATTTGATGCCCTGAGTAGTAATAACACCTGGACTCTTGTTCCCCTTCCTCCTCATAGGCAGTCTATAGGCTGCAAGTGGGTGTTTCGTATCAAGGAGAATCCTGATGGCTCTGTCAGCAGGTACAAGGCACGCCTTGTAGCAAAAGGGTTTCCTCAGAAGCAAGGGTGTGATTTTCAATGAGACCTTCTCTCCTGTTGTAAAGCCAATTACAATCAGACTCATTCTGACCATTGCCCTCACCCACAAATGGTCTCTTCAGCAGCTTGATGTTAACAATGCTTTCCTGAACGGGCTTCTTCATGAAGAAGTCTATATGGATCAACCTCCTGGCTTTGTTAGCTCAGATTCCTCTCTTGTGTGCAAACTGCATAAAGCACTCTATGGTCTGAAGCAGGCTCCTAGGCAGTGGTTTGAAAGGCTGCAAGAGGCCCTTCTTAGACTGCATTTCAAACCCAGCAAGTGCGATCCTTCCTTGTTCATCTTTGCTGCCAATGGTAACACTGTTTATTTACTTGTGTATGTGGATGACATTATCATCACCAACAATAATACTACCATGCTTCAGTCTATTATTCATCAACTCAATGCTGCCTTCTCTCTCAAACATTTGGGAGACTTGGATTATTTTCTTGGGATTGAAGTAAAATCTGTTGCTCAGGGATCTCTTCTCCTTACTCAATCCAAGTATGTTAGGGATTTATTGCACAGAACTCACATGGCTGATTCTGCCCCTGTTGCCACTCCTATGCAGTCCTCCTGCAAGCTAACTAAACTTGGCTCCCCTGCTCTTGCTGATCCTTATATGTACAGGTCAGTAGTTGGTGCCCTTCAATATGCAACCATTACACGCCCTGATATTGCCTATGCTGTAAATAAAGTTTGCCAGTTTATGTCTCACCCCCTTGAAACGCATTGGGTTGCTGTTAAGAGGATTCTTCAATATCTCAAGGGAACTGTTCAGTATGGTCTTCATCTCTCTCCTTATGTTCCATCTGAAGTTCCCTCTCTTCAAGTTTACTGTGATGCTGATTGGGCTTCAGACCCTGATGATAGGCGTAGTACGTCTGGTGCAGCCATCTATTTTGGAGGAAATTTAGTATCCTGGTGGTCCAAGAAGCAACCTGTGGTTTCCAGGTCCAACACAGAAGCAGAATACAGGAGTCTAGCTC